TCCCCAAAACATAAAATAAGCCTATGCTCCACCTCGAGGCCTTAGAGAAGGAATAGCAAACTAATTCCAAAATCAGTATAAGACAAAATAATAAAGATCAAAGTCAAAATTAATGAAAGAGAATAAAAATTACAATACACAGGATTCAAAACCAAAAAGGATTGGTTCTGTGAAAAGACAAATGATATTGATAAATCCTCAGCCCAAAATAAGCAAAAGAAAGAAAACTCAAATCAACAAAATTAGAGATGAAACAGGAGATGTCACCACAGAGATTTCTTTAGATGATCATTAAGGAACTAATTTGAAAATCTGTACTCGAATAAATTGGAAAACCTTGATGTTGACAAAATTTCTAAACACATATGACTTTGCCAAATTGAACCAAGAAGACAGAGAAAATCTTAACACACCAATAACAAGTAATAAAACTGAAACAGTAATTAAAATCTTTTCCCAAAAAAATGGACCAGATGGATTCTTAGTCAGGTTCTGCCAGACCTTTTAAGAAGTACTAAGTTTTTCTCAAATTATTTCATGAATGAGAAAGGCAGAATACACTCCCAAATTTATTCTATGAAGTCAGTGTAACCCTGATACCAAAACCAAAGGCACATAAAGGAAAGAAAACTACAGACCAATATCCCTGATAAACATAGGGATACATCCCTGATGTAAAGATCATTAATAGAAGCTTAATAAACTACATTCAAAAATCACATAAAGGAGGATGAAATGAATGGGGCTGGGGTTAGGGTTGTGGCTCAGTGGCACAGTGCTTGCCTACCATGTATGAGGCATTGAATTCAATTCTTGGCACCATATACAAATAAATAAAGATCCATTGATAGCTTAAAAAAAAAAAAGAGGACAATACACCATTATTAAATGGATTTCATCCAAAGGATTCAAGGTTGGTTCAACATATGCAAATCAACAAATGTAATTACCACTTCACAGAATTAAGGATAAGAATTATATGATCACCTGAATAGGCCTTTGATACACTTCAATACCCATTCATGTTAAAAACACCAGAGAAACTAAGGGTTAAAGAATCTTACTTCAATATTATAATGGCTATACAAAGAAAACAACGTAACTGAAAGCAATTCCTCTAAAATCAGGAACAAGGCAAGGATCTCTACTCTCGCACTACTTTTATTCAATATAATTCTCAAAACTCTAGCCAGAGCAATCAAGAAAGAGAAGGAAGAAAAAGGAATACAAATAGGAAAAGAAGAAGTCAAACCGTCCATTTGCTGATGACATGATCCTCTGATTAGAAAACCCAAACAACTCTACCAGAAGACTTCTAGAGTTGATAAGTGAATTTGGCAAAGTAGCAGTATACAAGGTCAGTAGCTTTCCTATACTCCAAAAGTGATTCAGCTGAACAATGAAAATAATCCCATTCACAATAACCTTGAAAAAAACAAAACCCTAGGATTGGGGTTGTAGCTCAGTGGCAGAGTGCTTGCCTTGCATATCTAAGGCACTGGGTTTGATTCTCAGCACCACATAAAAAATAAATAGAATAAAGGTATTGTGTCATGTTCAACTAAAGAAATAAAAATTTAAAACACACACACACAATCCTTGGAAATTAATCTAACCAAGGAGGTAAAATATTTCTACACTGAAAATTATAAAACACTAAAGAAAGAAACTGAAGAAGACCTTAGATGATAGAAAGACCTCTCATGCTCTTGGACAGGCAGAACTAATATTCTCAGAATGGCCATATTACCCAAAGTAATATAGAATGAAAGTAAACATCAATAGCAAACCCCATCAAAATACCAATTACATGCCTCATAGAACTAGGAAAAATAGGGTCCTAAAAACATTTGGAAGAATAAAAGACTTGGAATAGCATATGCAGAAAGTACCCATCAAAAATATTTAAAGGAGCACAAGAAAGATCAGTAGAGGAGAAAATGGAGGAGGAGAGGGAAAGACAAAGTTAATACGGTTTGAAATCAAATTCCTTGCATGTATGATTTTGTCAAAATGAATCCAACCATTATGTATAACTAGAATGCTTTCATAAAAGACAAAAATTGTATTCTAATAAAGCACACATATACATTTTTTGATATGAGGAAAAAATCCCAATAGCTAAAGAATAAGGTAACCATTAGAGGACAAGATAAAGTCAATATCTATCTTTATTTATGAAGAGTTAGGGAGGTGTGGTTTAATATTATGAAAGGAACAGGAATGCTGTGTGGGAATCTGATGCTCTGATTCAGAATAGTTTAATGCTGTGAGAGAGAAGGGGGAAGAAATTTAATTCAGTGATAAAATGTAGTAAGGCTCTGGAATCAGACTATATGGAAACACTGTCCTGAAAACATGAATTTAGGTTTCTTTTTTTTAATATATATATTTTTAAAAGTAGTTGGACTCAATACCTTTATTTTATTTATTTATTTTTATGTGGTGCTGAGGATTGAACCCAGAGCCTCACACGTGCTAGACGAGCGCTGTACCGCTGAGCCACTCCCCGCCGTGTATTTAGGTTTCTTTACCCAAATAATAACAGTACAAACTCACAGTGCTAATGATAAGTTTTAAGTAAAACTACTTATGGAAAACAAAAAATATATACAATAAAAATTTGCATATATTTATTACCATCATTAATACTATTCCAAAAAACTAATTTGAATGTGTGGGAATCCAGGAGACAGACATAATAAATATGGAAACACTGTCATGAAAACATGGAAGTTCTTCATTTGTGGAGGATAAGAGCTCAAAGAATTTACAATAACAAGATCCACTTGGCTGGATAGAATTATCTGGAAAATTTTATAGAATAATAATCTGACCTGTGTCTTTATATATGCACAGCTTTTAGATAGGAGAATGAGAATGACAGTAATGAAGCTGCCATGGTTTGGTGAAGTATGGTGGGAGGCACTTGGGGGTCCAGCTACTCAGAAGGCTGAAGCAGGAGAATCTGCAAAGAGAACCTGGGCAACAAAGTGAGACCCTAAAAAAGAAAGAAAAACAATGGAAAGGAAGCAGGGAGGAAGGGAAAGGGAAAGATCAAGAAAGGAGGGAGAGAAAAAAAGAAAAAGAAAAGAAAGGAAGCTGCCATCGTTTGATCATGGTTTAACTGTAAACCCCTGGATTCATGTGCTGGGAGCTCAGTCTTCAGTATGATGGTGTTGGGAGGAGTAGGGGAGAAGTAAGGCTTAGTAGGAATTAATTAGGTCCACCCTTTGAAAGGAACTGATTTAGTTCTGTGGGATCCTGGCTAGTTCTAGTTAGAGGGTTTTTATAAAAGAAAAGATCTAACCCCCGAGTTGCTCTCTGGCTTCCTATGTCACCATGTGACCTCTCTTTATTATACATACTCCAGAAATGATGTCATCTAGCACAAAGTGATGCAGCCAAGGGGACCTTCACCAAAGCCAGCACCATGCTGTTCAGACTTTTTCAATCTCCATAATGGTGAACTAAATAAATCTATTTCTGTCTTAGTTCCTCAATCTCAGGGCTTTTATTTAGCAGTGGAAAACAAACTAATACAGAAGCTGAATGAAAGCTGAGAAGCCAGAAAGACCAACACATTTCAGGATAGTGATATCAAAGTATGGAAATCTGAGTATCATAAGAAAGGCAAGACTATGTTTTGTCTTCTGAGTGTACAAATGAAATAGGTAAGTTTTATTTTTTAGACTGTTAAGAACCAATGAAGGAGGCATAACATGACCAAGCAGAATATCAGGAGTATTCTAGTTTTGGTATATAGAAAGATTAGAAGGGAAAAGACCAGAATAGAATCTTACTAGTCATTAAGACAAATAATGACAAAGACTAACTAGAATAGTACTGATGGAGAAAAAAAAAGAAGAAGAAGAAATATATTGACAAGAGAATGGGAGCGGGGGTAGGAAAATTGACCAAGTCTGACAATGACTGGGTATTAGTAGGAAAGTAAATGATAGGTGAGTGATGAAACCATTAGAAGGAAAGAGCAAATCCAAAGGTCTGGAAACCAAGATGAAGACTTTCTACTGAGTCATAAAAGCTGTCAGTCAGGGTTAGACTGCCAATTTGAAATAATAGTAAAACATTCTAACAGCCAGTTAGCAACAGAGACAAGTGCTTGGGAGAAGTGAGAACTGGAAACAAAAACTTTAGAATTATCAAAAAGCAAAACAAAACTCATTAGAATGTTCTAGACATTCCAGAACAAATAGACACTAGACTGTACTATTTCAGAACAGTGGTCACTTCTTATTTATTTTTATGACCCTTAATGATTAGCACAGTTCTGAATACATGGGAAGCTCTCAGTAAAATACTGCAAAGTGGGAAGAACAGAGAAGAGAAAAAGGCTGCACAGCTCATTAATGGCAGAATCTTATTTGGAGCTCAGGTCTCCTGATCCTTTCCACTATACCACAACACAGAAATGACTTACGAGCTTCCATGCACAGGATTTGGTTTAAGAAACGAAAATAAAGGACAAGAACTGAACTTTGGGGATTTCTGTTTTATAGGGTCAGAAGGAAAAAGAAACGAAAAGACAGCAAAGACAGACAAGAGTTATTGGGGAAATGTAATGGTGTTTCACCATAGATTAAAGGATATTTTTCCTTTAATATAAGGAAAGGAATGCACAGTCAACTGTATCAAATGCACATATGCCACAGCCAGTGTTTCTCTGATACATTAAACCAATGAAGCACAATGCAGGGAAAGGTCACTTTTTTTAGGTTCAAAGTGACCTTTGAACTAAGCAATTTCCCTTTCACAGGTTTTTCTATATATAATGCTTCTCATAGCAGTGGTTACAAAAGTATTAATCTTCAATAAAGTTTATTTCTATTAAAATACATAACTAGAAATAAGTTGCTATAGTTGTTGAGCTGAACAAAAATTAACAGAACAAATGAAATTTGAAGCAAAAGGTACATCTAACCAATAATCTATAATGTATTAAGACAGCAATAAAGTATATGAAATATCAGAGGTATTACCTTAAATCTCTTGTCCTGCAATACTTTTTTGATGGCAACCAGTTCTCCTGAATCACAAAGTTTGGCTTGATATACCACACCAAATGACCCATTTCCGATCACTTTAGTGTCTGTATAGCTGACTTCTTGTGGCCTGTCTGGACCCTGCCCGGGAGTTGCCACCACTGTGGTCACCTTGCTGCCATCCTTGTCTCCTAAAGGAAGAAAGGGATTTAAAAAAAAAAAAAAAATGAGAACTGTACAGAATTATACTGAGAAAACTGCCCAAATACACAAAGTAAACTATATTCTTTATTACAAATTATTTTTAAATGTTTACCTTAGTTTATCACATAAAATTATTTTTTTCAATTATAAGCAATATTTTTCATTCAGTCATTCTATAGACCAGGCTCCATGCTAAGTTTATACACATGACATCTTTTATTGAAAACAAAAATTACGAAGTAGATATACTTCATATATCTAAGTAATGGAAAGAATGTTAAAGATGCTCAGGGTCAAATAGCAAATGGTAGGCTCACAGGGGTCTCCTTATTTTACTTGAAAATATGTGCAACTGAAAGTGCCTACACTCTATTCAGACTACTCTCCCTTTAGGAAGGTAAGGTTTTCAATTTTTGTTTCTCTGTATTTGTTGTTTTAAAAATTAATATAATACTTCTCAGAATATGGTCAGATGGGAGAAAGAATGTTAACTGGGTGCTAATGGATATAAAGCCTAAAAGCAAAATCAAACAGGTTCTAAACTGAGCTCCATTTATAACCGTTCACTGGCTCTAACTCTGTTTATTATCTTCTCCTTACCTTGTTTGCCTTCTTTCATACCTAGCAGTAATCCAAAGGCTCTCTTCATGTTTAAGAACCACCTCCTACTTGACTAGGTATACCATCTTGTTCTCTGAATTCTTCAACTGTTCTGAACTGCACTACAGTACCTAGCCTTTAAAGAGCTTTAAGTTGTTCATTTCATGATTTCAGAATACATACCAGTTCTAGTTCTAGGGACTAGAATTATCTTAAAATAGCAATATGTCTCCTGCTTCTTCTCTCCTCTCTGTAAAATCTAAACCCAGTTCTCAATACAATATAAATCCTTTAGACCTAGTGACTGAACTGCATTTTTTTTCTGTCACTCTTCCATTATTATCAATTTTATTTTCAAAATGCTAACTGAATAATGTACACTAACCTAATGAAAGAAAAAGTAATATAATACTTATAAAGCACTTTCCCTACCAAAACCAAATTACTGGTTAAATGAAGATACAAAATGTTGTGGCACACTATAATTAGTATTGATATCCATTTAAATTTGAGGAAGTGTTTATCTAAACAAAAGCAATTAAACAATGTGAGATAAATTTTTTCTTGCTTAAAGATGCTTCATTTCAGACACAAAAGCAATGAGTGAAAGTAATGAGTGACTTCTACATTAGATAACCAAGTGATTTATAGGTAGTTTATATTATAACATGGTCAGCTGTCTTGGGCATTTTTGTCTTTAGTTCCTAAGTAAAACACCCAAAAAGGATATGATTTAATTAGCACAAATCTAATACCACTTGTGGAAGTGACTCAAATCTTGTCAACACCACTTTTATTTACAACACTATTACATGTGTTTTGAATGCATACAAATCACAGTACAAGTACAAACAGCAGTTCTCAAAAGTTTTCAAATTCTCCCTTCAAGTCTGAATCCTAGAAACCTTTGCTAAAAACCTAGTTTAATCTAATTGAGCTCTAAATTTTCATTTTCTATCCCCCCAAACTTTCCTTTATTCATCTTAATTACAACTTTGCAGGTTAGCTATAAATCCTACTAAAAGTCATTTTCTTCCTCATTTAAAAAATAAACCTTTTTCTTCCTGTACTTTTAGCATTTCTGACGACAAACTCAGTCTTTTGATCTTGAATACTAAATGAAGATATCCAGAAAGGTTAGATCCAAAAATGTTAAAATCCGAAATATTAAGTACATTTTTTTTTGGTGGTGGGGGGGCCCAGGGATTAAATTCAGGGGCATTCAACCACTGAGTCACATCTTCACCTATTTTGTATTTTATTTAAAGACAGGGTTTCACTGAGTTGCTCAGCACCTAGCATCTGCTGAAGCTGGCTTTTAAACTCATGATCCTCCTGTCTCAGCCTCCTGAGCTGCTGAGATTATAGGCATGCACCACCATGCAAGCTTAAGTACATTCTTAAATTCCAAGTGTCCCAAAAAAGGAAAAAAGCAGCAATGATTTCATACAATCTGACACTTCCCTGTTTCATCCAAGTTAAATGCACAGCACCAAAAAAAGAGTTGACAACTTTGAAGTAACATCTCACAAGTCTAACAAAACAAATCATTATCTTAATTAAGGTAAAAGATTTTAAGACTAGCCACTATACTCCACAATTTTAATGGAAAACAAAAACTGTCCACAATACAACAAAAAATTATGCTTTTCTTCTCTATGATGATATTTCAGTAAAGAAGACAGGAACCACAGCTTTGTATCTGGTCCAGTAAGAAAACTAATACAATATAAGCATTTGTAATGACTTTTCCCACTTGAGCCTTCCTATTGTACTTATAAAAACACCTTTACATATCAGAGTTTGAGAACAGCCATAAAAGATACAACTCTGGAATTTAATATCTCTTCATTCCAACTTTTACTAAGCCTGGGAAGGTATATCCAATCATCATGATTTCAAACACCAAAAAGGACAAATAAAATAATTCTTCTAAAATATTAAAAGTAGACTGGAAAAATAAAATATTTTACCTACACTGTAACTCAAGTAATTCAGGCTTCTTAATTTTACATTTATTTATTTGGGAGGATATACCAGAGATTGAACCCAGGGGCATTTAATCACTGAGCCATATCCCCAGCCCATTTTAAAAATATTTATTTAGAAATAGGGTCTCACTGATTTCTAAGTGCCTCGCTAAATTGCTGAAGTTGGCTTTGAACTCACCATCTCCTGTGTCAGCTATCCAAATTTCTGGAATTACAGATGTGCACCACCACAACCAGAAGGCTTCTTAACTTTAAACTGAGCCCTGATGTTGACAAGAACCAGTCCTTTCACTCTCTTATATATCTAGATAGTTAGTACTTAATATCTTAGTAGAAATTAAAATATTTACTGGGTTTTCTCTCAAATGATTAGAGAAAACTATAGAGAACACTTATAGGATATATCTTACTAACATTAAGTGTCTCGCAGTACTAATGGTAAGGTTTTAGTAAAACTACTTTTATAATACAAATCTATATAATGATTTATTATCATTAACTACTATTCAAAAAAAAACCTGAACATGTGGGTATCCAGGAGACGAGCATAATGAATATAGAGACAATGTCATAAAAACATGGAATTACTTAGTTTGTGGACAATAAGAGCTAAAAGAATTTAGAATAGCAGGATACACTTGGCTGGACAAAATTATCTGGAAAATTTTACAGAATAATAACCTTACCTGTATCCTTAATACATGCACATCATTTACATAGGAGAATGAGAATGATAGTAATGAAGCTGCTCTAATTAAGGGAGGGTGGTTAAAAAAAAATGGCCTTCAAAAAATGCCACTGTCTTTCAGATACAATAGCAGAGCAGTGAGTTGGATCCAAGCCCTCTGGTCAGAGGACTCCTGGGATACTCAATTACAATTAGAATCCCTGCTTCTGATATAAATTTCCTGTTTGAATTCTAACACAGAATTATAGCCTCTGCTTCTCATCAAAATAGAGAATCTTAAAGATATAAACCACAATGGAACTCCTCATGAACAATGGAAAGATGGTGTGCAATAAAACAACCTTTTAAAGGACAGAATATCTGGAATACAAGTTTTACAAAAGCCTTAGCAAGTGTAGGCTTATTCCAAAATGATCTGTGCAGCCTAGTTACCAATTTCTCAAACATAGGATTGTACCTGTGAAATATCTCCTGGGTTTTTTTTTTTGTTGTTTTTTTTTTAAGTCTTTTGAAGTCACTCTTCAGATCAATCCACCTTGTAATAAACAAATGTAAACATTGTGACATGGATCACAAACATGTGGAGTGAACATCCAAAAATCAAAAGGCCATTTCAAGGATATGTGAGTATTTAGAATGGGGTCTAGCACTGACATTCTAAATTTTATATAAATGATAAATCTCAAAGCTGAATGTAACCTTGCTCTTTTAACAAAACTCTTAATCTGGTGTTTCTTTTCTTACAGAGACTACCTCTCGAGATTCAGAGCTGAGAAAAAGCAACTGCAGCGCGCTAACCAAAAGACATTCAGGGAATATTAATAAGCCATACTACTGAAACAAATTGAGCAAAGTCATGATGTGGCCCAAGATCTACTCCAGTGACTATGTTATAGGGATCTGAGTCTGCAATGACAACCTCTATAAAATCTTCCTTTACCTCAAAAATCTCTTGTGCGCAAAACACAGAGTTAAAATTGTGTGTGTGTGTGTATATGGAAAAATTTAACCAAGAAGGTGAAAGGCCTACAGTGAAAACTGTAGAACACTGAAGAAAGAAATTGAAGATCTCCCATGCTGTTGGGCATGCAGAATTAGTATTATCAAACACAATTTATAAGTTCAATGCAATCCCCATCAAAATACTAATGATATTTCTTATATAACTAGAAAAACCAGTCCTAAAATTCACATGGAAAAATAAAAGACCCAAAAGAGCCAAAACAATACTGAGCAATAAGAGTGCTGATGGCAACACAATACCTGATCTCAAATTATGCTACAGAGCTAGAGTAACAAAACTAGCATAAAAACAGATATTAAGATCAAAAGAAAAGAGTAAGTTACAGAGACAAAATCCATATAGATATAGTCACCTGATTTGACAAAGGTACCAAAAATTAATATTGGAGAACAGATTGCCTCTTTAACAAATGGTACAGGAAAAACTGGATATCCATATGTAGAAGAATGAAATTAGATTCCTACCTTTCACCTTGCACAAAATCAACTCAAAAGTGGATAAAAGACTTAGAAATTAGGGTAGAAACACTGCCACTGCTAGAAGAAAACATAGGGCCAACACTATATCATATAAGTGCAGGCACTGACTTACTTAATAAGACTCCTACAGCTCAAGAAATAAAACAATGAATCAATAAGAGGGTTAGCTTCAAATCAAAAAACTTCTTCTGTACAGCAAAGGTAT